ATACATATATTCGGAGTTTTACTCCTAGACACTTGACGTGCAAAATAATTATTACATGTAATTTCACATAAAAAGTTGGATTAATGACATATAATTAAAAAATTTACCTACTACAACAGCTTAAATACACTGATTGTGCATTTGTTTGGTTTGTTTTTGAAGTGTTATATAAGTTACGTCGTATTTTTGTCAATAAACGAACTAGGTGGACGAGGAAAATAGTACATAAACATTTTCTACCATCCATTCCACACGCAAATATAGTTGGAACGGCAGGCCAGTAGATTTTTTTAATTGTGGTATAATAATTTGACATTTGATAATCAAATTAATTTAAATTTGCATCGGATAAGGTCCATAAAAGGAAAAGTCTTCATGTCAGAAATTTCTTATTCGTAAAATTCGAACTTGAGATATCTGATTAATAATAAATAATCTCGTACATCTCATCAGGGGCGAATGTAGTATTGAACCGACAGGTTCAATTGAACACATAACTTTTGACACGGAGAAAAAACTTATATGTAAAAACTCATTAAAATTGCAAAACTAATAGATATGAATCCATGACTTATAAATATAATGAGTTTAATATCAAAAATCTTAAAAACTGAACACATGAACTTTAAATCCTGAATCTGCCTATGCATCTCATCATATCTGTGGATGGTTTAGGGTTAGTGGTTGATAATTGATCTTATTGAAGATTGAGAGAGCTGCCAAATGATGGAGACATTTGTGTCAAAAGGGGGAAAAAACGAATCATAAAGTTTTAAAGGAATAAACCCAAAGTATGTCCAAAACTTTCTAACTTATCAATTTCTTAACTACCAATTAGCATAAAGCACATTACAAGCCTAAGGATTAATGTTTGGTGAGTTGTCTTCTCATCTCTGTTTTGTTCTCTTATCACTACTCACTAGGATGATTCATCTAACTTATCCAATTAAACTTTTACATATTGATACAACAAAAACAAATATCAAGTATAGTATTTTCCCTTTTCTTTTTGCCCTTTTGGGAGCGGGGAGGTGGTGGTGTAAAATAATTGGTAACTAATTAAGAACATTAATGAAAAAGAAACTTAATTTTTTTTTATGAGAAGCAAAGTACTTTGGTTTATTTCCTAATCAAAAGAGTTTTTCATTTATTCTTTTTTTGATTTATTGTTTTGTTGTCCAAACTTGTTATACGGTGATCTCTTTTGTTTTAGAATCTACACATGCATAATAAGAATATAGTTAGTGAAATAATTAATTAGAATTTTGTTGCATAGAGAATTCTTTCTAAACATAAAATGCTATTGATGTTAATTTAAAGGTATAAAAAAACTAAAATTGCAAGTATACCATTTTATGTGTTTTCTCCAAATGTCTCTTTATTAGGAGCAACCTTCTCCACTTGAAACTAACTTTATATGAATGTGAAATCAGTTGGTACATTTTGTAAGGTACCTAATGTGGGACTTTCTGGCGCGAATTAAGATTTAGTCGGGCCTCAATATGGGTACCGAACATCAGGTGGGAAATCAAAAAAAAAATGAGGTAAGTTGAGGACCCCTACTTTTTGTTATGGTCTACATTTCATAAAGCAATTAATTACATGAAGGGTTTACTGAGATGATCGAGATTGTCACGTTTAACTAAACAACAACAACAACAACATTCCAGTATAATCCCACAAGTGAGGTCTGGGTGTCACGTTTAACTAAATATTTGGAATTTGAGCCTGAGAATAAATAAAAATATATTATTTTCAGTGCGAATCCAAGTTAGTTTTGTCAGTGAATTTTATATACCGAATGATTAGAAAAATAAAAAGTAATTAAATAGAAATATGAAAAAACTATTACCATCCCAAAACTTTTTCATGATCATGGTTGTTGTATTGTAGACAACTAACAACTCATTCAAACTCATATAAAGTGTTAGCCTTTTTGCAACAAACTGGAAAATTCTCCTAAAAGGCAGAATTATTATAAGTTATAACCTTTTTTCCTCTTGTAACAACAACAAACGGAATAAAAAGTGGAATTTTCCAACCAAAAAAAGAGATAGAAAAAGAGAGGAAAACAGAATATTCTATAAGATAAAGAAGATTATAGTTTCATGGGGAATTTACTTTCATTCGCTATCTTTTATCCTTTCAGTACCTTTTCCCCTTTATTTATGGTGGGATATTTTGGGAAGCTATGTTTATTACAATTTTTTTTTTTTTTTTTTGGGTGCAGGTTCTGTTAAACCTAATAGCTAGAGTTAGTGTTTGATTTTTAGGAACTTAAGAGATTAAAACTGTTTAAAAATATAATTAAAGAACTATTCTAAATCTATCTTAAATATAACAGATTATTTTTTTCATTTTCTCTCAAAAACACAAAATTGAAACCACATTTATAGTTTGACAAATTGATACATCACAATTCACATGTTACACATATCCATTTATTTCACATCATATCAAAACTTGTAGTTATCCATGTTGTGCAGTGGCGGATCTAGAGGGTAGCTTGTGGTTCCCGTAGCTTTTGCACGATCCTTGTATATGTATTAAAAAATTAACTAAATATCTATAAATATTTGATTGTGAACCCAATGGATAATTTGAAATCATTCTAGGAACCCATAAACTTTAAAGTCTGGATCCACCTCTGATGTTCTGCTGTCGATTCACCTGTTAATAATCAATTTATTATCAAACTGATAACTTTCCAATGATTCTACGCCAAAGAAAACCATTTTCTTAATGAGAGTTAAAAGGCTCGTTTGGTACGAGGGATAATGAATAATTAATCTCGAAATTAAATTTGAGATAAATTTATTCCATATTTGGTTTGGATAAAATCATGATATAACTATTAATCCCGCGATTAGTTATCCTGGTATTATAGTATTTTTTTATCCGCATAAAAAGATATAGAATAATTAATCTCAAAATAAATTTTTTTATTTTAAAATAATTAATCAGGAGATAACTTATTTCCCTACTAAACAATCCAGACCTAAACCAACAACAGCACATGGGATAGCAAGCCACTAGAATGGAAAACTATAGCCATGCAAATGGACAAATTCAACTCTGGTTTTCAAGATTGATCAATGAATGATAGCCACCTAATTAATATTGAAACTTCAAAAAGTTTATTGTAGCTTTTGGGGCCCTTTATTTCTTGGAATTTAATGGGACAAGTGGATCCTAGAGTTTGTAAAACCAAGGTTGATCTCATCTTTCCACATAGTACTTCTCATTTGTGACAAACTCTGACATCAAAATCTTCATGGTAAAAGAATTTTTAGACCTTCTACCTTCTTCATTTCTTTTCCAAAAAATTCCGCTTAAAAAAAACGTCTCTTTCGTAATGATAATATCTAGGTCAGTTTACGCATATCTCGACTAGTTATTAAACAATATTTGATATTTCTCGCTAGCACAAATTCTATCAACTAAATTTAAGCACATGAAAAACCAAACAGACCAAGGCAATTGATTTCTTGCTAAGTCCTTCATGATAAAATTTGTCATTAAAATGTCAAGAAGGAGAGGAAGTTTGTTACTCTTTTTGGTATCTACATTAGGGTCTAATTAAATTCGAATTCACGCTGAAAAGTCCCACATTGGGAGTAAAACGCTCTCTAACAAATGCGGCTCCGAATACAGCGAAATGAATAGTAAAAAGAGGCTTTAGAGATTGAGATAGTTGTAGTTAGTAATTTACACAAAATCCCCAATACCGTTTCCTGTCAAAATCAACGAATTAATTACGTGTCAAACCCAATAGATAGTGGTCTGTCCATATTGTAATAAGATCATTATCTTGTTTAGTTATTTGTTTTCTCCTCCAAATTCACCACCTCCCCTTAATTTAGCTATTAATCAAGAACCAAGTGCGAAGTCTACGTGTCATTTATGTTGCTGCAATGAGAAAGAATGTTGATCAATACTAATAGCTCAAAGGGTGTAATCTAACCGTTAATAAAAGTGGGTGTAATCCATAAAAGATTAGAATTCATACAAAATATACTCTAAACTATTTTTTCTCATTCGTCTAAACTTTAAGACGTAATGATGATCGGGTACATGTACATACAAAAATAATTAATAACTCATAACATAATTTAGGTGTGTAAAATAAGGATTGACTATATTGCTCACTCTCCAAAAATGTTATTGTATCCGTAGCAGATTCTTTAAAGAATCCACTACTTTTAAAAGACGGTGTAAGCTTGATACTGAACACATACCCCCTTCTTATAGATGAGCTCAATGACTTAAATTAAAAAAAGATGTCGAAAGAAAGTCTTAGCCCTTACGTGTGCGCGTTGCGAAGAGAAATTAAAGACGAAAATTTTTTGGCGAAGAATGCAGGCACCGAATGGAAAAGACATATTCCATAAAGGAACAACCCACCGAAAGAACATACCTTAAAGGACACCAATCTCCTCCGGCAAAGATATATCTACTTGAAGCCAACCCATAAATTAATATAAATAAAAAGAAAGATAGAGAAAAGGATGATATGTAGCTAGCAATATTTTTAAGAGTCCGAACAACATATAAGTAACCTACATCATCCTTATTTGTGTAAAGAAGAAAACAAAATCTTGAAGCTGACCTTGCCACGATTTTACGCGATAACAATTGCGTAGGACAGCCTAACTAACCAAATAGTGGACCCCAGAAAGAGCCAAAATAAAGACTTTTCTAATCAGTGCACTTTGGAAATTGCATGACGGTAGAAAACGTGGAAAAGTCATGAATTTTGTAGATGGCGTAACTGGTAAAGTTAATTTCATGTGATTAGCGAACTGTAAAAATAAAATCTTGAAAAAATGCAGAATAAGACGATATAAAATAGACCTTTATGGTTCAGTTCTTCCTGAACGCTACGCACAGCGGGATCTAAGTATATTGGGCTGCCCTTTTTCTAAGTCATGAGCAGCCCTATCATTTAAATTCTTCACTGACATTGAGGACTCCATACCACTGTACTATCTCTTCTGATTGAAACCCATAACTCTTTTTTCTTTATTTTATTTAATTCTCCCATAAGGATATGATATTCACACAAAACAAAACAAGGTACACGAGAGGATAAAGGGGAAAAATAGAAGATAAATATGAGCAGACGATAATATGTCTCTTGAAAAGGATTGACAATTAAGTTTACAAAAAAAAGTGGAAGAAAATTTATAAGGTTATTGGGACTATATGAAACACATGAATATCAAGATAACAGCTAAGGACCAACCTATTATAATAGAATTAGAATATTCTTAGCCACTAAACTTTTGGTCTGTGAAATCTGCTGTTTCTCCTCTTCTTCTTATTCTTTCTTCTTCTTCTTCTTCTTCTTTTACTCGTAGAATTTGATTCGATTTTCATCAAACTCTGAATTTCACCAAAAGGAAAGCAATCCCAAGAAGAATCCAACGATCAAAAGTGAAAATCCACTAGAAAAGCTCCTTTTTGCACCACCAAAATCATGGTCAACAGGGTATAAATTCCCTGGTGGACCAGTCATGTATATATATTGTGAATTTGGTGTATCGGGAACATAACCACCACCGCCGCCGCCACTTCCGCCGCCACCGGAAGGAGGAGGAGGGCAGTAGGCACTCGGTGGTTTCTTTGGCGGTGGTGGTGATGGTGGTGGTAGAGCTGGTGGAGATGGTGGCGGAGAAGGTGAAACACAAGGCTTGTTACAAGGACAACCTCCACACTTGTTTTCATCTACCTCATCAAGTTTTCTTGGATTTAATCCATTGGTTATTGGTATAGCTATCAAAAATAAGAGAAAAACCACGACCCGAGACATTTTCAGAAGCTTCTTACTAATATCTTATGAGATCTTGATAGAAGTGTGAATTTCTTCTTTCTTCTTAGAAGAAAAAATGGATTTTTATGAGTGTATGTGACAAGAATATTACGTTAGGTATGGTGACTTTGTAGTAGAATAAATCAAGTGAGAAATGAAAGGAAAAGGAAAGGAAAGTCTTTTGAGAAATGAGAGAGAGTTTGTTACACTTCTTGAGAATGCATGGAAATTGGAAGAGAAAGGAATTTAAGGGTTGTTGATTATGAGGTGTCTCTTTTATGTATGGTGTATTGGCTTAATCTAGAAGGCAATTACAAATGCATGTGGATGGTCCATTTTTTGTCCCCACCATTGGACTCTTTTTCTATTTTTTAATCTTTTTGGAGTTGATAATATTTTAAGATATTATTATACAAATAGTCGGTCGATGTTTTAATTTTTTAAAAGTTAATATACATAAATTATATATCGATTATACACATACTATACATGGATTACATATATCTTATACAACCGCCAGTTATTTTTAGCTTAAGTGCTTGAGTGATCAGCTATTTATGTTAATGCTTTTTTTTTTTAAACTTGTTATTTTGTTTGATTAATTATAAATCAACATACTTTGTACATCTAAAAAGAATGGATGCTTTCAATAATTGTATCCTTTTTGGTATCTAATACTCTGGACTAGTATCTTGTGCGTGGAAAATTGGCAATCCTAATTATTGACCATGAACAATAAAAATTTGGAGTATTTTTGTTAGTTGAATTTGGTATAATATGGGGGCTTGAATTTATTATTTTTGGATTTTGCAAGTCAAAGCGAAGGTTATAATATGCTTTGGTGCATGTGGAACTTTCCTTTTCTCCAGTCCTACTCAAAAGTAGAAAATTCTTGTAATATAAAGGGAATATTATTTAATCTCCTTTTGTTTATTTATAAAAAGATTGGAATCAGGAAATCACTCATAAACATTCTTATAAAATGAAGAGGAGGAGGGGGGGAGGGCAGGGGCGGCTAGAGGTCAAGCAACTAAAGCAATTGCTTTAGGCCCCAAAATTTTTGAAGCCCCAAATTCTTTTTTTGTTTTTTATTTTTATTTTTACGTATTCGGTATTTGCATTGAAGTCACGACTAATTTAAGTTTGAACCGCTTAAGGCCTAGTAGAAAGAAAAGTGCACTCTAACAGAATATCATCCATAGGGCTCAAACCCGAAAAGTAGGTTAAATCATATTCATCCACCACAATCCTTGGAGTGGAGCCCAACTTTTATCAACAATAGATTTATAAGTTAATTTTTTAAGAATAATATTGAGTATTTCAAAATAGAAAAGTAAAATCTTTTATAAAAAGTAAAAAAATACTCCCCTAAACCCTTACCACGAATATAAAATTCTGCGTTAATTATATTTTACGATTGACATCATTAGTTAAATACCTACATTATTTTTTATATTTTTATATTTTTCACTTTAGAGTCTAATATTTTAATATCTCTAGTAGTCCAAATCTCATTTCTATATTTCTCATAAAAAAACATGTACTACACTTATATTTTCTTTCTTGGTTTCAGCAAAAGTTCAAATTTTTGATAAGCTATATTGTTTCACAAAAAAAGATCAATTTTTTCAATAAAAACAAGAGCTAAAGAATACTGTTGAATAAGCTATATTGCACATTCTTAATTTTTTTCCTCTGTAGGTTTCAAGCACTACAACACGTATATTAAAAAATTAAATAATTATTTTGATATCAAGTTATCAACTTTTTGAATCTGGTTTTATTTCCTAAGATCAACAATATTTTAAGAGTGAATAAATGGTTTATAAAAAAATTATTAATAACTATACATCTCAAAAAGCTAGAAAAAATAAATTTCAGATAAAACTGTATATGAAGGTTTTGTTTTAACAAAGGCCTCCAATTAAATTTTCCGATTTAACCCTCCAATCTTGTTGAACCGCCCATGTAGTGGTGTGTGGGGGAGGGGGGAGGGGGAAATTAAAGATTGCTTTTGTATATATTAGCTAGAAAGTATTCGGACAACTTAACGTAAACAAGGAGAAGAAAAAAGAAAAGAAGAAAAAACTTAAGTTTACCAATAATATAGGGCATCTATTTTAATTTACCTTTTGTTTATCTATTCTGAATTATGCTACGAAAGAGGATACGTGTTGCTTTTGTACACAACTTTGAAAACGATATAGTCATACACTAGAGCCTAACTAAGAAAAAAGTGAGATGAATTTAAAGCAATATTGAGTCATCAGAAACAGGTAGAAATGACAGCAGATAGCCATTTCAAAACATTGCTATTTAAAAATTAACTAATGTGTCATTAATTTTAATTTTTCAGTTCAAATACCGATATCCTTAATTGTTCTGAAATTAAGATTTTTAATTTAAATTATCAAAACAAAATAAGTACTAACTAATCCATAAATAACAACCCTAAGAATGGTTGTTTGTACACTTCGACAAAATAGCATGGTATAGTCAGTTTTCGGACTGGTCATTCAAAAATAGCCAGCGTTTATTAAGTCAATGAAAAATAACCACTATTTTGCTGCAACAGAGACCGGTCCAGCATAATATACTGGATTTCGGTACACCCGTGTATGAACTCCAGCACATTATGCTGCACCGGTATACTTTGCTGGCTCCAGTAGAATATACTGGAGACTAGAGCACCGATGCTCCAAACTCCAATATATTATGCTGGACCGGTATACTTGCTGGAACTCCAGTATATTATGCTGGAGTTCTAGTGAACTTATGCTGGAACTCCATCATATTATGCTGGAGTTCCAGCATACTTATCGTGGAACTCCAGTATAATATGCTGGAGTTCCAGCATAAGCATACTTATGCTGGAACTCCAGTATATTTTGGACAGTGTTTTCGCTCAGATTTATCTTTACATGAAAAGTGACTAAATTTCGATTACTTTTGAAACTGGACTATTTTTGAACGACCAATTGTAAATCTGGCTATTTATAAATTTCTCCCGTACATAATGCTGTATGGTGGGCCGGGCTGGGACCGGACCGGGCCCGCGGTCTTAACGGGCTAACGGTCCTGGTGGGCCGGTCCTGGTGGGCCGGTCCCCAATGATGCAGGAGGCCCGTGGCGGGCCGGTTCACTTCTATAAGCCCACGAGCCCGGGACCGCTAAGCTCGGGACCGGCAGGCGGGCCTGGGTCGGTTCAACCGGGCCTAACGGGCTCCAACGGCTATTTTTAAAAAAAAAAAAATTTTCAACGGTCAGATTTTTAAAATCTAGCCGTTGGCCTTCATAATTTATCCGCTGGCTACTTTAAAAAATAGCCATTTGGCCCCCAAACTTTATATAATTACACTTTTTCCCAATTCTCAACTATAAATACCCCCTCATTCTTTCATTTTTACTCACCAATTTATCAATCTCTCTCAATCTCTCTCAATCTATATCTAATTTCTCTTCTATAATTGCTTATTTTATTATTGCAATTTCGTGAAAAATTGTGAAGTTGTTTAATTGAAGTATTCAAGTCTTCAACGATTTTTAATTTTCAAGAAGTTGTTCGGCAATTCGGTAAACTCGTTCCAACTCTTAAGTTTTAAGAATATATTTTTGTGTGTTTTAGTTTGCATAATTGTAATTAATATGGCATTTTCTTTGAAAAAAATATTTGGTGGTAAGGGAAAAGCTAAAATTGGTGAAAGTAGTCGCCAACCTACTACCCTTCCCCCGGCTCCNATAATTTACTCATAACCCACGAATCCAAAGATATAATCTGGTTTAAGATTCGACCCCAAATTGGGGTTGAATTACCCAAAATTCTCAAAACCCTAACTCTACAAAAAACCCATGATTCCTACCTTGATTTCATGATTTAGGCTTAGAAACTTGCTAATTAATGAAGGAAAAGTAAAGGAAATAAGTGGGAAATTACTTACTCAAGTGGTCTTGAAGCTTGAGGGTTTAATGGCTTCCTAAGGCTTGGGAGAGAAGAGGGATCGTGATAAAAAGTGAAAAATCCCGAGTGTACTGTTTCTGTTCTTTTAAAAAAAATCACTGGACGACATTACACTACGCGTTCGCGACAGTAGGGTCGCGTTCGCGATGAATAGAAGTTGGCAAGCATCGCGTTCGCGGACAAGGGATGCGAACGCGAAGAGAAAATATTGGGTGCCTGGAAAATTGGCCTACGCGAATGCGTTGGCCTGTACGCGAACGCGATGGGAAATGGGCTGGGAACTACGCGAACGCGGTCCGGCCCTCGCGAACGCGAACAAGAAAAGAGGACTGGGCCCTCAGAGGTTCATATCTCTACGCGAACGCGGACTAGTGACGCGAACGCGATGAAGGAACAAAATGAAGCATCGCGAACGCGTGTGGGGGAGTGCGAACGCGAAGAAGGATTTCACTGGGCAAAAATTGCAGAAAAATATGCTACCATTCCAAGTGTAAAAACACCCCAAACTACCTCCAATTCACTCCCGAGCCCTCGGGGCTCCTAACCAATCACACACACTAACTCAATAACATCCTACGAACTTACTCGAGCGATTAAATCGCCAAAATAACATCAAAATCATTGAATCAAGCCTCAAAATCATCATTTTCCTTTCAAACTTCATAAACTTCCAACTTTAGACAATTAGGTCCGAAACACGTCAAACGACGTCCGATTTCGACCAAACTTTACAGAAAGCGCTTAACACATATTTAAGACTTGTAGCGGGCGTCGGAACCAAAATACGAGCCCGATACCACAGTCTTTTAATCAATTTTCATTTCCATTTTCCTTAATAATTTCAGAAAAACAATTTCACAGAAAAATTCATTTCTCGGGCTCTAGACCTCGGAATTCGACTCCGGGCACATGCCCGAGTCCCATATTTTTCTACGGACCTTTCGGGACCGTCCAATCTCGGGTCCGGGTCCGTTTACCAAAAATGTTGACTGAAGTCAACCTTAAACATATTAATATCAAAATTCTTCAAATTTTTCACAGAATTCACATATTTCAACATAAAAGCTTTCCGGCTACGCGCCCGGACTGCGCACGCAAATCGAGGCAAGTAAAAAAATGAGGTTTTAAAGGCCTCGAAAACACAGAATGAATGAGGAAACAGGTGATGACCCTTTGGGTCGTCACAGTATCCTAAGTTCGACAGTGTATCCTTGGTGTATATTGAGCCTATCTCGAGTGTGCTTGTGTATAAATATTGTATCTAAAGTGTATATATTTGTGTACCCCAAATGTATTTTGTATCGTGAATGTATAATCTGTCTGAACAATGTATCAAAATTGTATATAATGTGTATTTTCTAATATGTAAACATAGTGTATATAAA